TGGGTGAGTTGTTTATAGCTGGGGGGTCTCCATTGTCAAGCCTGTGCCCCATCTTGTATCTCCCATACCTGTACTCCTCTACACTGCATCCTGTGTCTCCACTTTTCAAGGCCTTTGCTAAGATAGAGTCCTGTATTTCTCTATAGTACATTATTGAAATAGAGTTGTAAAACCTGTGTGGCTCCATACAACAACGAAGAAAAGTAAATCAAATTACCCATAGATAGCTGATTAATTAGAAAAATTGCTGTTGCAGCTAAACCAAATGTCACAAATCTGCAGACAGGCCAAGGAAAACTCAGAGTAAGCCTCGACAAGCCTCAGTCTCGAGGCCTTGCAAACTCACTACAAAGCCTGTGGCATGTCATTAGCAATGGCAATGCATACAGTATTGCAATACATGCAGGGTTGAAGAGTAACAGCATTATCAACACAGCTGATGTTTGGCGTATTACACTGGAAGAGCTGCAGGATATGGACAGGTTAAATCATGTGAGAAAACCTGATAGTTCAGAGTGGGAGATGATACTCATATGGACTTAATAATAAAATACTTGCTTCTATAATCTGGGACCTTGCCAGTTGCTTTGGAAAGAACAGATGAAGGGAAGGGCTTGTGAGTAATAGTTATTAACAGCAAAAAAGCCACCTGCAAAAGGCATATGTGATCCTAGGATGTGCTGCATATGCTAGTTTCAGTAAGGCTATGAAAAATAAACACTTGCTCACTGATGGAGCTTCATCTGAAATTGGTTTGTTGGATGCTTGTGTTCCAGAAAGACTTGTTCATATGTGAGAAATGGAGAACCTGTGTACGAGTTAATTGTATGAGTGCAGAGTTGCTCCAGCAAGCTTGACTTGTGCTAACAGAGATCCAAAGGTCTACGGAGCACAGCATGAAAACACCTGGGCCGCCTTGGGCTGCCAACTTGGGTATGAAAGAAGCAAGTCGTGTTTGCAGGGTCTTGGGTTGGAGGGAGTCAGATTTTTCTCTTGGGCTGTTAGACAAAGCCTGGCACTGCATGAAAGCGTCTGTAGCGCTTCTGGACCCAAATGGAAGTGTCTGCATGTGCTATGCTATGTGGATGCCGGTTTGGGTCTCCGGTAGAGCTGGAATTTGTGTGCTGCAGTCCATAGGAAAGGTATTTCCTAAAAGAGTTGGGATACTTAGTTGTGTGGACTGTACTCATCCCAGGAAAAAAGTGATTTACTGAATCAGGTTCAGGAGAGATGAGTGCGATTGTAAAATCAGGTTGGGGTAGTGAAGGATTTGGAGTGGGAGGCTCAAGCTCCGCCCAGAAGGTCCTTTAAACTGCAGCCGTACTGTGATGACTTCTTGACTCTCTTTCTGGTGCTCAACATGCAATTGAACCCATGGATATATGGTTGATGAACTCATTAATTTTCTGATTGCCTCCCATTTTTTAATTTTTCCTTTCATTTCTTACTGCCAAGCAGAGATTGTGAAATCAACTGTAAGACTGAAGTAATTCCCATGCCTCATTTTTGTTGGGAGAAGCCACTTGCTATGGTTCACTTCTCACCTCGTTACATACTTCATGTTCCTAACATTCACTGTTTTAGTGTTTACCCATCATTAACTACTTCTCTCATTCCTGTTTTGGTGCTCTTTTCATGATTACTCACTTTCTTTTTCTGATCTTGTTCCAGCTTACCATTTAAACTGTTCTAAATGCTCTTTCTCTCTCTTTACCTTTTCTCTCTCCTGAAGTTTCCTGGAGCTCTCCCCACCCCAAATGTCTCTTTTTCTTTCCTTCTCTTATTTTTTGTCTCTTCCTGTTGATTGTAAATGCCACTGCCATTGTTTAAATGCTGCTGCCTTGCTTGGTTTAGGGGCTGTCGTACAGGATTTTAGGTTTTCCTTCATGACACACAATTTACTTGTTACCATTGAAGTAGATAGAAGGTTCATTAGAAAAAAGTCAAGGAGAAGTCCATTTTGCATATCGTGAAACACTTGTTTTTTCATTGCTATTAACATTTTTGGCAGTTCTTTAAACCAAAGGTTGAACTGGAAATGTTATCACAGAATCTAATGAAAAGAAAAAATTGTAACCTTCAAATTGGGGAGGGGGGGAGACAAAGTTTGTTGGGTTTTTTTTTTCAGTGGAATATATTGTTTTCAAAACCAAGTCCAGTTTGACAAGTTTTTCTCCTCATCCATCTTCTTAATGGCCAGCTGAAATATTTGCAAGGAAAACTGAAGATTGAACTCAAATGGTTACTGATAGGTGGGATTTTCTGGCCTTCTGAAAAAGACATCTAATATTTAATGGGTACTGTATATACCCTGTGGGTAATGTTTGTAATTTTGTGGGAGCACCTGCCCTTGCAGGTCTATCATGTGCAAAACAATTATGCAGTTTTCTGTAATCACACCAGTTGCATCGAATTTGAGGTGTTGGTGTGGTGAGAGGCAAGGCTTCCTTCTGTACAACACGGCTTTTCACTTGTTGATAATTAATAGCAAAGACACTTCAGGAAGCAGCCTGGCACTCTCTGCCAGAGGGAGGGAGATAGATAGATAGAAAAGTATGTCTGTCTGCAGGTTTAGTGTTTGCCTTACACAACTTGGCAAGTATTTTGGCTGTAGAGAGACTTGGAGTCTTAGGAAAACATGCTATATTAAGGCTACGTTTAGTTTTGTTTATAGGGCTTCTGAAACATTTCAGACTCCAAAACCCAGCTATTTTCCCTGCCTGTTTTGCTGAAAATAATGTCGATCAGATTTGAATTTGAATCTCTGTAAACTTAATATAAGGCAGCTTCCTTAGAGACAGTTAGTCACGGCTCCCAGTGACTGCCCTCAGCCCGTGGGGGTGCATGTCACCGCATCCCAGGTCCATGGGGTGGGCAACAGGGCTGCAGGAGGGAGCCCCAAGCCCATAGCGGGCATCTCTTGCGTGTGGCGACATCCTGTGCAACAAACCCCCTGGTGCTGCCGTGCTCCTGACATCCCCAGACAGCGTGCTGGGACGGCGTCCTGAGGTTGTGGAAGTATTTGTCTCTTTCTGTATGTTTCCACACAAGCACTTAATACTCCTTTAATGAGGGGGTCTGGTGAGTTGTTTAGAAGAGAGGAGGCGAGAAGATAAATTGTTGTGAAAATGGGAGGTGAGGTGAGATGAGGTGTGGTGCTACTGGTGGTGAAGTTTCTCCAAGCGAAAGGGGCTGACGGGGGAAGTTTGGTGTCTTAACAGTGTTGCAACTGTGATTATGGAGAACCAGTTTGAGGTAAGCTGAATAAAAAGGCAGGTTGCGTATTTATTTTTTTTGTTACTTATTTATTTGTTTATTTCATTTTCTGTAAAACATGAGAGGCTCTAAGTGGAAACATGTAGCAGAAGAAAGGGAAATACAAACGCAAGCCCACACAGGACTCGTGCTCTAGCTCTGGGCTGTTTTGAGTTCACTGGAATTTCTGGTGGTCCTTTCTTGATGACGGGAAACGGTACTGTCTTTTGAAGTAAAACAAACTGGCGCTAATGATGGCTCTTTCAGACATTTGAATGCCAGGTCTCTTGCAATCTTCACATGAACTTCATTTAAACAAAACTATTAAATTTTCTCATCTGGCTTCTAGCGTGATATTAAAGATGGATACTTAAAAGTATGTGTGTTTGGGATTCGTCTCCTGTTTTCCACGTCAATTACAATTATGTTGCTTTTGAACAAGAGGTTGCCAGCAGGGAATGCTGAGGAGTGCCCAATTAAATTTCAAATATGTTTTGTTCTTTGTTCATGGTGAGAATTATTGCTTCCTTAAGGTTGCTGTGCTCAGAAAAATGAACTCAGGTTGCCTCTAAACTCTTCGTAACATCCATAACATAGTTTTTAAGGCCAGCTTAGTGGCTAGCACTGTTGACACCTCCTCGGAGAGCTGGCATAGTGTGAATATCATGGGCCCTGGTTTGAAAAAGGCTGGAGCAACCTTCCATCTGAGCAATATCTAGTCCACCGTCTTGGTACCCAGCTGCCTGCTAAAGAGCTGTCTCTGGGAAATGGGGAGACACCTCTTTATTTTTAACATATGTATGTGTTATGGTCATACAAATACATACTTTTAACATATGTATTTGTTGTGGTCCTGCTTTCAGATAAACAATGCCAAAATGAGACCATGCAAATTACAGCGAAGTGAAAGAGAAATACGTGTGTAAGCTGTTGAAGTCAGCCAGCTCTGAATGACTTTTGGTGATTGACTAATAACTGATGCTTCACCACCAAGCAAATGTTTTTAATACCTTTTTATATTTGAATATTTGCTTCCCAAATCCAGATTTTGGATTCATTAGCGTGCTATGGATAGCCTCTAGCTGTGTGCGCAAGTCCTATCTCTGTGCCCATTTTGCATTTCAGGTAATTAGCTTAATTTATATTAGGAAGAGACACTAATTGGAAGGGAAGGAAAAAGTAGGTAGCAACATGCCAGTGACAATGAAGATAATACATCACCTATTACCTATATAAGTTTTCATGAAAGAAGCTCTTTTCAGGTGTCAAGTAAGCCTAATAAGAGCTTGAGCCCTTGCAAGGTAGGCAGTGTAGCATTCCCTGCTTCATATGAATGGCTAAGCTGAAACACAAAGTATATGTTCTGTTTAGTTTTACACAATAAATCACAGCCAGAGGTCAGGAAAGAGAGGAGTTCCGGGCCCATCAGGAGCCTTGATTCTCTGACAGGTTTCTAGAAGGTGAGCAATAATTACTGAACTTCGTGTTGCAAAACTCACCCATAACATCAGTGATGTAGATCAGTGATTTGGTACACAGGCTGGAAAAAATTGTTACAAATCTTTGTATTCTCTGTGGAATGAAGATAATTGCCCATTCTGCCAATGGCTAATTATGTTTGACCTGCTTGTGTCTTGTGGCCCTGAAACAGAGCTTCCTAAAAACGTCGTAGCAACACTTTAGATGGGGTCCTACTCTTTGCACTTTAACCAACCTTTTTTCCTCTCTCTCTTGTTAATCCCCAGAATGCAACAGCAACAACAGCAACGTCGAATGTTCACAGCTGCCTTCCTGGCACTTGTTTTCATTCTGGCAGCTGTGACTACCACCGAGGCTGGCAAAAAAGAGAAACCAGGTAAGGTCCAGTGTAATTCAGAGTTAATCCCTGGGATAGATTGCATGTGTGGGAGAATGTCAAATGTTTCTCGTTTTGTTATGAAATTCAGGTCATTCGTTAACCTTTTGACATACAGGGTAAGGATTTGTGGCTGTGACATGTTGTTCTGTGTTAAATAGGAAAACAGAAAGTAGTTTCCGTGAAAGCTGGCAGCTTGACAGCCCCAGAGACTGGAGTCCTCAGTTTATCACAGAGTGGGTATTGCAGGGCAGCTTAAAATTTGCTCTGGGAATAGGTTCATGCTTGACTTAGGGAGAACCAAACAGGAGGGATGAAAGAGCAGTTACTATGTCTCTCATTCAGTGTTGTATATGACAATGCTATACTAATGCTGTGTGATGTGGAAATTCTCCGACAAAGAATTGAACTAACTCACTGCTGCAGATAGACAGCCAGACATCCAGCGGTAATTGCTTTCTGTCAGTGATGAACTCAGACCTCGTTATAGGAGAGACAGGCCTGGGGGGGAAAATTCACATCTATCAAACCCAGTTTTGACATTTTTTTTTAAGGAACGCATCTTTTGGTATTTTTCTTAAGATCTTAATATTTACAGGCTGCTTACACACCAGTTTATATGACCTGTGAGTCTTATCAGAATTAGTGTTCCCATTAAAAAAAAAGTGTTTCTAACCATTGTGCCTGTATGGAAATATGAGAAAATGTGAATGTAAATATACAAGTGATAGAAGGAAAATAATTTTATATAAGGTTATTTAAAGTTACTTGTGATGTTTTGGGGTCCTAACTAGTTATTTCTGTTAACCCTTGAGTTTGATAACATTGCTGTCTTTTTCTCATCAGCATTTCGAGTACACTTCTCCATGTAGTTTTTTCTTTGGAGTTTTTGGTCATATTCTGACATAAAATGTGACATGGTATACCAAGTGAAAAGTTTGTATCTCACAGCTGGTCCCTGGAGGTGCTCAAATCCTGATACACAATGTCAACACATACATTTCTAATCTGTATAGTGTGTGGTGCTTCAGTCGGAGCTGAAAATACTTACATGCCATCAGCTTCTGGAGACAGAGGAGTGTCCTTTTTGAGTGAGCCCTCCTGCATGTTTTGGTCAGTGGTCCCTGAGGGTTTCTAGATGATTCCCTATTCTGAAGATGAGAATCCAGTCCAGAATATCTAAGTGGACTAGTAGACATGGTAGTGGGGCTGAACTTGAATGATCCACCCCACTTTGGAGTGAGGGGCTGACCTGTCACTGCAAAACAGTGAAGAGGATGCCAGACCTTTTGCTTTTGAAGCAATTGTTTTACAAATGTCTTCCTTATTCACCCTTTCAGGTGCTGTTACTGTTTAGTGATGTTTGGGGAACTTCTCCATAGGCTCTGGGTACTGACTGCTTCTCTTGCTTGGGTTTGGTTCCTTGTCTTCACCCAGAGAAAAAGGCGAAGAAGTCCGACTGTGGAGAATGGCAGTGGAGCGTCTGTGTGCCCACCAGTGGTGACTGTGGCCTGGGGACACGCGAGGGCACTCGCACAGGAGCTGAGTGCAAGCAAACCACCAAGACTCAGAAGTGTAAGATTCCCTGCAACTGGAAGAAGCAATTTGGAGGTAAGCATCACTCTCTCAAGGGATTTGTTTTGGTTTTTAAGTGTAGAGCAGGAAGCCTGTATTTTCTGCTTAGCCCCTTGGTGAAGGGGTTACTTCTGTAATTCAAGTTCACCGCAGCTGGAACACATAAGGCATCAGAAGGCAGCTTCTTCAGAGCAAAGCAGCTCCTCTGCAGAGAGTCCATATAACCTACTTATTGTAAACTCAGTCTTCCAGCAGCATGTTTAAATCTGCTCTCCTGTATTGTACAACCCTATATAAGGCAGCAATGTAAGCGTC